TTAAAGTGATTAACTACCCGCCTGGCACTTAGTTAAGGGGTTTTATCCCCTCCCTCACTTCAGGGAAAAATCCCTACCTGGGGAAACAACCTTTCTCAGAGAGGTGACCTTGGTTAAAACACATAGCGCCAAGAAGGTGAGCAAACGTATTAAGAACAGTATGCCATATATGCCAGGTCCCTTGAAACAGCAAGGATGGACCGGCTCCCGGCAACATACTAGTCAATGAAAGTAGAAAAGAAATTTCAAAAGTATGAATGTAAAAAAGCAGACATTCAGAAAGAAAATATTATAAGAAAAAATTAGATATGAGAAAAATATGCACCATAGCAAGGTCACCTATCTCTGTTGGGTGTTGGGGTGGGCAGAGAGAGAGAGAGAGAGAGAGAGAGAGAGGGAGAGAACCAGGACACATTCTCTCCTAAATTCCCATGGAAACCAGGTACTGCATCAGCTCAATCACATGAGAAACCCAGCATGATTATAACTATTAAATCCAATTCTTCCCTGTATCATGTTCAAAGAAGTACAGGAAGATCTTAACATTGGTGAGTAAGAAGGCCACTGGCTTCCAATGAGAGTTCCAAAAGAGTAAAGAATAGATTTTCATCACACCCATTCAGGAGTAAAATTGGTTGTACCCTCAAGACTTAAAGGTGAAGCCTGATATTTCAAATGTATGGAGTGTCTACGTAAGTGTGGCACTATAGTAGTGCTACAGAGGCATTAAATAAAAATGAAACTAAAAAACACACACACCCCTACACACACACACACACACCCCCACACACCACACACACACACACCCCCCCACACACACACACACCACGCACACTGAACCGGCACCGCCTCTGTCTCCGCCTGTGATGGCCGTGTTTTGGTGACGAGAACATGTAGGATCTGCTCTCCTAACTCCAAGCGTAGCAGTCACCACAGGGACCAGCTCCCAGATGCCGCATGGAAACAAGCCAGGCCCCGACAGCAGGTGTCATGGTGACCACGTTAGGTTCATCCCAGGGACTCGGGGCGGTTCAGCATCGGAGCATGCATTCCTGTGTTCATCACTAACACTACAGAGAATAGCTGGTCCCCCCAAATGCAGAAAAATAAAGCGTTATGCTCATTCATGGCAACTTCGCATACTGGAATTAAAAGAGGTTTTTAAAAATACTTTTATTGATTTCAGAGAGGAAGGGAGAGGGAGAGAGAGAAACATCAATGAGAGAGAATCACTGATCAGCTGCCTTCTGCATGCCCCACACTGGGGATCGAGCCCACAACCCGTGCATGTATCCTTGATCGGAATCAAACCTGGGACCCTTCAGTCCGCAGGCCAACGCTCTGTCCACTGAGCCAAACCGGCCGGGGCTAAAAGAGTTTCTTGATAGCCCTGCCGGTGTGGCTCAGTGGTTGAGCATTGACCTGTGAACCAGGAGGTCACAGTTTGATTCCTGGTCAGGGCACATGCTCAGGTTTTGGGCTCAATACCTGGTGAGGGGCGTGCAGGAAGCAGCCAATCAATGATTCTCATCATTGATGTTTCTATCCTTCTATCCCTCTCCCTTCCTCTCTGAAATCAATAAAAACAGGAAGAAAAAAGAGATTTTTCTGGACCTGATCAAAGGAGTCCACCAGACCTGCCTGCGGCCCGTGTGGTGTTGGGCCAGAAGCATGGCTAGTGAGCACAGGACAGCGTGTCCGTCTGCTCTGGCCTCTGTGCTGCAGTGAGGCCAGAGAGAGAGAGAAAGGTTCGAGACTGGAATGGGAGAACGGAAGGAAACCCTTTAGAGAGAAACGTGCTCGCATCTGAGCCAGGTCTTGCTTTAAGGAACCTGCTAGACTGAGCGGGGCCAGAACAGACCGTGTGTCCAGACCGTGGGCCGGGCCCCCTGACACTGTCTCTGTCTTCGCAGCGTACTGGAGGTTCTGGCTGTGTGTCAGCGTGGTCTACGAGCTGTTCCTCATCTTCATACTCTTCCAGGTAAGCCGCTCCTCCGGGTTGGGCGCACGGGAGTTTAGGTGATGGCGTGGCCCCAGGCAAGCACATCAGCCCCTCCTGGGCTGTCAGCAAAGGCCGGCTGAGGTGTGGAAGGGGGAAACCTGATGCAAGTGAACAGCTTGCCGACTGGGAAGCCTAAGGGCAGGCGCCTCCTGCAGGCAAAGGAGAGGCTGTCTCTTCTAGAGCAGGTTCCTTCCTGCCCTGGTTCCCCATTGGCCCATTTCCATGCAAATGAGGAATCCAGATTTACACAGTCTGATTGGTTGTAACGGAGCTGCTCTGGTTGGTCAGTACAATGCAGATGAGGTATAGCTGTGCAGCTTGGATGGGCCGGTGCTGGTCTCGGCCGATTGGTGGGAAGATGATACCAGGAGCTGCTTTACCAGGGCGGCTCGGCCGCAGGAACACTGCAGTCCAGGAGGCCGAGGGCCCAGGCAGAGGCTGCTCCCTGAAGGCCAGTCTGCCTGGCAGGCTCTGTCCCTTGTGGCTGCCAGATTCTGGTCATGAAATCTGCCTGGTTAAGCACAGGGAGTCCTCCAGGTCCACAGAAGCAAGGCTGAACCCCCACAAAAGTGAGCGTAGGCCCGGCCAGTGTGGCTGAGTGTTGGGTGTCCATCTATAAGCCAGGAGGTCACAGTTCCATTCCCAGTCAGGGCACAAGCCCGGGTCGTGGGCTCGATTCCCCAGGAGGGGGCGTGCAGGAGGCAGCTGATCGACGATTCTCTCATCATTGATATGTCTATCTCTCTCTCCCTCTCCCTTCCTTTCTCTCTAAAAATCAATAAAAACATTTTTTTAAAAAGTGAGTGGAAGCTGTGAGGGGACCTTGAAACGTCCCCTTTCAGCAGAATCTGTATTCTGGGCGTGGAGCTCCGCGCCCGGGCCTCTGGTGCAGGTTGTGCTGCGTGGGCTCTGCCCTGGCGGCCGCGGGTCAGTCGAGCTGGGGCAGGGCCAAGTGTATGGACTGGCTCCCATTCGGGCACCTGGTGGGCCGCCTTGGCTCTGAGTGGCAGGAACGCAGATCTGGGCAGGACCAGCGCTGGGACAGAAGCACCCCTGTCCCGGGAGATGGTGCTCTCGGCGGGCCCGGGGCCCCGGCAGCGCTCACTGGGGTTCTGTGTGGTGGCTGGCGGCTGTGGCTCCGGGAGCTTCTCTCCCTCCCGTGCGCGTCCTGCGGGACCGTCGGGAGGATGTGGATGTCGGGTCAGGATCTGCTGCCTCTCGCGTCTGTGCTGTTCCTCTTCCCCTGCTTGGCTCAGTGAACGCGCCTTTCGTGGGATCTTCCACTTCCGAGCGCCTCCCTGCTCACGGCCTCAGAAACCTCAGGGCGGCTGGGCGCTCGTGCTCACATGGTACTTTCCTTTCCGGGCAGCGTGCAGCTCTGAATGTTAACACCTGTTCGTATTTGCGTGCACACAGTCAGGGCAGAACGTCCCCCCAGGCGGTCAGAACTGCTGCTGGCTCGTGTTGTGTGTAACGTCAGCCTCGTGTGCCACCAGAAGCCCCTCTCAGTAGCTGCTTCTTTCTTAGGGCTCCCGCCCCTAAGCCTGTTTCTGTCCCAGGACCCCCCAGAGCACTGAGCGGTCCCACCTCCTCAGGCCCCTCTGGGCTGGGAGTCGCGCCCCAGCAGAGGGAAGTGAATTGGGAAGTGATGGCTCCTGTTTCTTGCGGGAGGTCTGACCCACGAGGTCTCTTGCAGCTGCAGGTGCCTTTCAGGGTGCCGCCGGGCGGGGTCGCCTTCCATCGAGAGCACAGGGCCTTCCGTCTTGAAGGTCAGGGAACGCGCTGGCACCTCCTCGCAGTGCAGGCCCTGGTGTGGCCGGGAAGGGAGAACTCTCCGCTCCATGCTCGGCTGGCTCGTTAGCATTCTCCAGAAACAGCTCGTTTTGGTGCATGGAGCTCGCGCCTGGCGCCCTCGCTGAGCTGGTTCATGCTGACAGTTCTTTGCTGCTGTTGGTGGGTTTCTGGGCATCCTCTGCACACAGGTCCTGCCATCTGCACAGAGAGGGTTCTGTGCCCTCCTCTGACCTGGTGCCGCCTCCCCTCTCGCCGTCACACTGCCCAGCCAGGCCCAGCCGGCAGCCAGACTGGGAGGTGGGCAGCCAGGCGGCCCTGCTTTTAGGAAAGAACCTCCTGTCCGTCCCCTCAGAATGCTGTCCGCTGGGGGTTCCCTGGGGGCCCTTGCAGGTGGAGGCAGTCCCTCTGCTCCTAAGTCGTTGTCTTTATCATGAACTCGTGTTGGGTGTCGTCAAATGAGGTGAGCATGTGAGTGCTCCCTCTGTGCGTGATGTGTGTGCTACGTTGACACGCTTTCTTGTTTGGAGCCAAGCAGTGTTTCGGGGACCCACCCTGGGGGCGGTGAGCAGCCCAGGGCACGCTGTGCTCCGTCCGCTGTGCTGAGGGTCCTGCGCCCACACTCACGGGATGGCACCCCGTTTCCTGTCGGGGCTTTCCTGGTGTGGGTGTCAGGGCCACTGGGATTTACCTGGTGTTTTTCTCGTGATCTGACAGATAAAGGTGCCAACGCCAACATCACTTGTCGCTGTCGACCCCACCTCGACCCCACCCCCCACCCCGCGTCAGGTTCCCTCCCTGGGACTTGGGAGGGTGGGCTGCGCACAGCCGCTCCCTGAGGGTGGGGGGCTTGCCTCTGCCCAGGCTGTCAGGGTCCCAGCTTGTTGCTCTCGGAGCTGCGGTGCTTTGGGTTGTAATTGATTTCATGGCCCAGATGGCTGGGCCGTCGGGAGCTCACTCTGCCTGCCTCGCCCCGTCTTTGTGGGTTCTGGGCGTTTTATTTGGTTTCGTCTTGTATTTTTGAGCACTTCCCTTCCTTCTGCACCAGAAGGCACTGTAGGCCCATCCTGGCATTTCCTGCCCGGCCAGACCCGGCCCCTCGCAGGAGCCCTGTTCTTCCTGGAGGGAGGTCTCAGGGCCGTGGCCCCGCAGGCGCACGGCCACGCTCGCTCGTGTCTGTAAATAAACACCGTTGTCACTCGCACCCTCCTTCCCTGCGTCTGCCCCCCCCACCCAACCCCCCCTGCTGCGTCCCTTCTTGGGAGCCCTGTCACAGGGAGGGCCCCGGGCCAGGGCCTCACTGGCCTTTGCAGAGTGGGGTCAGGTCTGTCTGCCACGGTGGCCCGTCCTCCGTGG